GTGCCATCTCCCTTTGTGTCTAGGGGGCTTGCTCTCTTTAACGTTCAAAACGACAGCCCCAGCTCCTTACTGTGGGGATTTTGCAGCCTCAAGGGGTGTTTCCGCCCCACACGGCTCGCAGGTGGGCAGTCCCTGGGGCTGGCAGGGCAGGAATGGTCTGCCTGGGCAGCACCCTCTCAGCCAGGCCCAGGCGGAAGGCTGGCCAGGATGGGGAGCAGAGGGGCGGAGGCTGGAGGATGGTGGCAGTTGGACCCCTAGCACCTGCGAAGCCAAACTGGGAAGCGCAGACTTTGGGGGATAATATGGATATAATGCGGATTCTCTAGGACGGCTTATTTTCAAATTTTACAACGCTGCACTTAGAAATCAGCAAAGACCCCAGTAACGCCAACATCTAGCAACATCTGGTGCAGCTCACACTACAGCTCCCGTCAGTCACAACGGGCACACGCACGCCCCCCGCGAGACGTGGCTGCGGTTCTCGTCCAGGACTCGTGCCCCAGCAACGGGAGCCATGGGAAGTTTCTGAGCAGGTCCTGACACACGGGAGCCAGTGCTTCTAGGGCTTATTGGGCCACGGGTGCCCAAGGAGGGTCTGCAGGCCTGAATCGGCTGGAGGGGGCAGGTCCCAGGGAAGGCAGGGGCTCCATTTGTCTCGCCCTCTCTGGGCCCTGGCATCCTCTTGTGGTAAACTAACCCACAAAGGGCAAGGATGAAGGTGGAGGGTGCCACGTGGGCCCCAGGGGACACGACAACTTCCACAGAGGGGAGCTCCTTCCACCCCCAAGACGCCACCGAAGTCTGGTTGGGAAAAGGCAGGCAGGAGGCAGAGTCCAAGCTGCCGGGGCTGAGGCCCGAGCTCCAGGGGCCGGCAGAGGCAGGAGCTGTGCTGCGAGAGGCCCCGCTGGGCATCCTCCTGCAGAGCCTGCAGGCGCTGGGCAGTGCCGGGGAGGGCCACGGAGACTGGGTCCAGACGGCGCGCAGGATTAGAGGGAGAGCTGCCGAGAGAGGCGACGGCCCTTCTGAGCACCAGCAAGCTCTGGCAGGGGAGACGGCAAATTCTCCAGGAAAAGCCCGAACTCTGGCCCAGCACTCAGGACGGGCGGGAGCGTGCACTCCGGAAGGTGCTTGCCGTCCAGGGAGCAGGAGGTCCCGGATGGGACCAGACCTTGCTGGACGAGTCTCAAAAGCTGAGGGACACGGGAAAGAGGCAGAGCCTCCACTTCCACTTCCTGCCCAAGCTTTCCAGAATCAAACACGGGGAAACACAACTCACCGCCCCCCCGCCGGCCCCGCACAGCCTGGCTCCACCGTCTAACACCAGCAGAGGCTCTGCCTTTCTTTTGGGAATAACTTGTCCTCTAAAAAGGATTCTGTTCCTATGGAAATGACTTAAAGCAACACATTATTTCCCAAGGGACAAATTACAATGCTGCGAAGAACGAGGGCTTTTAAAGCTGTTTGCCATGAATGCTCTATTGCTGGGGACTGCCGCTCTGGTCTCACCACTGGAGCTGCCTTCCGTGGATGCAGGAGCATTTTCCTAAAATGTCGCAACTGCAAACTCAATTCCCCCAGGCTCGCCAGGACTCCTCGGGGTCTCTATTTAATTTCTGTTTTCTCTCATCTGCTTTCCCATCTAGCTCAGTGCCGCGCATGCATCCCGGTGCTCCGGCCTGCTCTCCACCCGGCCCGTGGCATCGAAGCACTCATTTATTCTGGGCTTACAGGGAAGATTCAGTCCTGTGGCTCCTCTGCCAGCCCCTCCTCCCCTGCTCCCCACGCGAGCTGTGGGGGCTCCAGGGCTCCCGCAGTTCATGCCACATCCCAGGCCCCACACCCCACACCCCGCGCCCCACACCCTGCGCTCCACGCCCCACGCCCCACGCCCCAGCTGCTTGGCTGCCCGTCTCCTGTCCTCCCTCAATCTCGAGTCGAGTGAGCAGGGCTCCGCCGGGAAGGCTGGCAAAACACTTCCATCAGCTGCCCAACATGCTCCCTCTAATTACAGTAGGGCAATGTCTCCAGCCAAACAGCAAACAAATCGTGTCCCTTACGTAAGAGTGTGACAAAATATGGCAGGTTGATGAATGGTAGGTGTCTTGGCGTTTGCAGCTTTCAAGGCTGCCACGAATTCTGTTGCTTTGGGCCAAGTCTGCCCCTGCCTGTGTCCCTTGGACTGGACGTCACCATCACGACAGGGTGGCAGAAAGCCTACTGCCGACCCAACGCCACCCTCCTCTTGGCCTGCCTCCCCCAACCCAGCTCAGGTACCCTGGCATCCAGCGGCCGTCCCTATCTTCTGTGCCCGCAGGGGATCACGGCCCTGCTTCAGCCCCAGGACACATGTGACATCTCACTGCACATCACTGTCACAAGAAGAGACACCACCTGTGATGCCTGTACACCCCCAGGTACACCCCACGGTCAGTGTGCACCTGGTTTTCCCTGAGTCACCTTGTGGGAAGGGGACCATCGTGGCACTGTCCCTATTTGGGAAGCAGCAGAGCAAACAGAGGAGCAAACAGAGGCAAAGCCCCCTGCGTGAGGTCCCTCGTTTCTTTATTGGTCTCTCTGCAAGCGGAAGGTGAGCTACAGCCATTCCGCGCACATGGGTGGTTTGGGGTCTGCCTGGAGTTGGGCTCCAGAGCGATTTCAGGGGACGAGGAGCCGCACGTCCACTGTTATCAGCACACACTCATATACAGCGCGCCGTGGCTTTGGGGACCCACGTCAGCCCAAGTTCTCCCCACCCCACCACCGGGCAGGGCCCACCCAAGAGGGCAGCCTTGTCTGCTTGGGGCCCCCAGGGACACTGTGTCCCCATCCAGGTGTCCCAGACACAACCGAGGCAGAAATACCTGAGACGCCTGGCCAGCACCACCCTCCTGCACCTCCCAGTGGGCAGAGAGACGCCGTGGGAGGCGGAAGCAGGCACGGTGGGGAGACGGGGGTCCCTGCGTTTCATCCGCCTCACACAGCGACGCTGCCAGTCACGGCCTCTCTCGGCACCACCACGGTCCCAAGGGGAAGTGGCGATGTGGCCCGACGGGTCAGAAGGGCCCCCAGGGCCAGCAGCTTCGCAGGAGCCTGTAGGGCGGCCAGGCCAGGGGCGTCCTCCCCATTCACAGACCGCAGGTAGCAGGCGGGGAAATGCGAGGCGGCAGCGCCGGCTGACTCCGCCCCCAACCCTGCACTGATGCTCTCCGCGGGGAAAACCGAGCCCCACGCTGACAACAAGTCAGGAGCTAAAGTAAAACCACCGGTCGAATTCCCCCCTCCACCCGTGACCGCCCGGGGCTGGTGGGCAGGCCGGGGGCCGTCTGCGGGGCCAGGCCCTGTTGGCAACTCCTGGCCCCGGCAGAGCCTGTGCCCGTCCAGCCTCCCCTGGGGCGGAGATGCAGCCGCGGGCCGCAGACCCCACGGCCCCCAGAGGGGAGCGGGCATCCCGGGAGCCCTCAGACAAGCGCAGGACAGAGGAGCCAGGAGCCGCCCGGAGCCACCACACTAGGGACGGGGACGTCCTGCCCGTCCCTTCCCCAGAGAGATGAGGGACTCAAGGGCGCGAAGCAGCAGAAAGCGACTGACTCTGGTTGTGCAGAGCCGGACCTCGCCCCAAGGCCACCCACGTCCTTGCTGCACCAGAGCCCTCTGCCAGGTGGGCGCCAGGCAGGAGGACTTCCCAGCCAGCACCTCGGGGACAGCGGGCAGCACCCTGTGCCACACGGTGCTTAGGCCGGCACACAGAAACAATGGGCCTGAGTCAGCGGCTGGGGACTCGGTGCACACGGAGTCCCCTTGGTTGAGCACAGGGCCTGGCAGGATGTGCTCTCCCACTTTGCAGCTAAGTATGCTGGCTCAGAGAGGCTAAGCAATGTGCCCCAAATCACACAGCAACCAAGTAGCCTAGCTGGCTGGGTCTAGGCTGAGTGATTTCTCTCCCAGCCCCGTCCCTAACTTGTCACGTTCCATGTACTGTGAAGAGGCTGCTGGGGACCGGAGGTCACATGCCGCCCCCTCCAGGGATCACACTGCTGAGGACACGCTGGCTCCAGGACGTTTCTGTGCGGAGCTGGTCGTGCTGCCTCATCTAGAAACTGGCAAGGTCGGCAGTGCTCCCACGGCGACCACGTGACCCAGCGCGACCACGGGACCATGGCAGGTCTGCTTCTGCAGCCCGGTGAGTCCACACAGCAGGGCCCTGGCAGGACGCAGCCAGCGCTTCCCAAAGCTCTTTCACAAATAATCCCGCCAACTAAAATTTAATAAACCTCCCCCCTAGCAGAAAACCTAACTCGGGTTCTTTTGAAACGGCATTTACTTACTTGAAAATCTCTTTCTTCTAATATTTCTTTCCTCCATCTCGTGAGAAAAGCAGCACAGACGTACAAGTGGAAATGAGAAAAGCCCTCGGGTTCAGACTGAAAGAGAAAAACGGCGAGAGAGAAACGTTAACGTGCGGAGTCGTTAACACAGCTGCGAAGTTATCTGTGACGGTCGGGGTCGTCTGGCCAGGCTCAGAGCAAAGCAAAGCCCTGCTGACTTGCTCACTTTTACTTAATACTTTAATTTCAAAATTCTCGTCCTACTAAAACAGACACCTTTTCTCTTTAGGCGCCCGCAGCCTGATGCACAGGACGTGAAGAGCAGATCACGCTCTCGGCAGCCTCAAACGCGGTTGCTCATTTTCTCCGCTTGCACAGATAATGACCAAAAATAACAAAAGACAAATTCAACAAACACTAATTCCGTGCCAGGCACAGAATCTACTCCTCGACGTAACCATACAAGGGAGGTACTCTCCCATTTCCCAGATGGGAAGACAGCCCGAGAAGTTGGATAACTCATCTGGTTGAACCCAGGTAAGCGGCAGAGCAGGCGCTGGGTCTAGGTCTACACCGAAGTCCTCGATCCTCCCAGGGAATCACCAGGGAAACGAAGCTGGTAGGAAGTCCTGGGGCGCAGAGGGACGGAGGCGGCTCGCTCCCCCTCGAATCACCACCCCGAGCCTCTCCTCACTGTCCTCAGATGTGCCCTCCCTCCTCCCCTCACTGCTCACTCCTTACTGGCCCTTGAAGCCAGGACCACCGTCGCCCCCCTCTGGGCTGACACCTCCCAGCAGGAGCACCTCTCGTCCCCTGGGGCCATCTCCTCAGTTCACCGCACACTGCCCAGGGTACTAGCTTTGTAATTCTGCCATGTCCACGTGATACCCACATGACTACTCTTAAGTTTATTAAGTTAATAAATAAAACAGACGACGCACAAGACGGTGACAGGCTATGGAAACATAATAAGGCAGGCAGGGGGATGGCAAACGGCAGCAGTGTTTGTGTGTCTGGGGGGTGGCCTACAATGTCAACATGACGGTCAGTCACCTAAGGTGACATTCAAGCAAAGATTCCAAGAGGGAAAGCCATTTAGACATGCAGGGGAGAAACGTTCTGGGCAGAAGCAGCAGGAAACACAAAGGCCCTGCGGTCGGAGACTCTGGGCATGTTCCAGAAACGGTGAGGAGACGGCACAGCTACAAGAGGGTGAGGCGAGCCACGCAGAAGCTGAGGCGGGTGGCGACGGCAGGGTGGGGTGCAGGTGCCCCCCTAAGGCCCTAGCCTTAGGCTGCTGCCTCCTTCTCTTGGCCTCGGGAGCTCTGACCTGCAGAAAGATGTGGGCTTCAAAAGGGCCTCAGCTGTCGCGCTGAGAGCAGACTTGGCGCGGGGCAGGGTGGGGAGAGGCAGCACTCGGGACAGGGCAGGGGTCTGGGCAACCATAACATCAAGACGTGCCGGCGATTCAGGCTGAGTAGCAGCAGTAGCGCTTGTGGGGTGAGGTCAAATTCTAGATGCACCCCGAAGGCTGAGCAGACAAAATGCACAGGAGATCTGGGGTAGGAGAGAAAGACAAGGACCGAGGGCAACGCCAACATTTTTGGCCTCAGCCAGTGGATGAAGCTACGACCTCCTAACACGGGGAAGGGTTTATGGAAACGTTTGTAGGAGAGAGTTTGGTGGGAAGGTCGTGATTTGTTCCTTGGACACGCCAAGTGTAAGTCACACGCTGGAAATCCAGGCGGAGATGTCAGGTGGGCACTAGACACACAAGTCCAGGAGACTGGCCGGTGGTCTGGGCCAGAAACAAACGCTGAGGACTGAACAGCCTAAAGGAATGAGCAGGGAGCTGGGGGCAGGCCCAGGGGAGTGTGAGATGGGGCGGAAGGGTCCAGTGAGGCCGCACTGGGAGGTGACCGCTGGACTGACCGTGCGGCCAGGACAGAGAGGAGGAAAACCGCAGGCAGACAGGCAGCTGCTTTATCTTGCTTTGCCGCTCTGGCTGGAGCTGGCACACGTCTTGAGCGAAACTGCTGGCACTGGGGGGCCTCCTTGCCCTCCGCCTCCTGGTTTTGAAAGGGAGGGCTGCTCTCAACATTTCACTCTGGACGATGACCTCTGCTCGAGACCTTTGTTGTAGATAACCTATAGCAGGTTAGAGAAGTTCCCTTCTGTTCCTAATTTACTAGAGTTCTTATCGTGAATGGTTACAGAATTGAATCAGATGCTTTTCCTGCATCTGCTGAGATGATAAATTGCCCTCCTTTAATCTGTTAACGTGGTGAATTACAAGAGTATCATATAATAGTTTCTTTAACGTTATGCCAACCCTGCATTCCCGGAATAGACTCGATTTGGTCACAATGTGTTATATTTTTCAATCAGGGCTAGATCCTGTCTGCTCACATTTCATTGAGGATTTCTGCGCTCATATTTTTAAGACTGGCCTCTAATTTTCGTTTCTGGACCAGTCCCTGTCTGGCTTCCGTGTGAAGGTTACGTGGCCTCTTGCTCTCTTTCCCATCTCAGGAAGAGGCCGCACGAGACTGGGATCTGTGCCCTTCAGGCGTTGGCTGGGAGCCCCGTAAAAGGGCTGGGCGTTTTGTTTGGGGAAAGACGTTTCCTCCTGATTTAATTTCTATGTGGTTATAAAACAATCCAGATTGTCTCAAATTTTTGTAAAATTTGACTTTTCTAGGAATTTGTCACCTAAATTTTTAAATTAGTTCTTAATATTCTATTTTTCTTTGAATCTCTGCTGCAATTGCAGTAATATCCTATTTGGGATTATTAATACCATTTTATGCACCTTTTTCTCATTTCAGGTGTCCATCGTGCTCGAGATTGGTTAATTTCCTTAGTCTTCTCAACGACTTTTGATGCTGAGGAGACCAGTCTCAGCTTTGCTGAGCTTTCCTACGTCCTTAATTTCTGCTCTCATCCTTACTGTTTCCTTTCTTCTACTTTGTTTCTAATTTTTTTACTGTAGATATTTTCAAACACACAAAAGTAGAGTTGCTTCTACTTATTTTTAATTAGTCAGTTCTTTTTCTAACTTAGATGATTAGCTCATTAATGTTTGGCTTTTCTTCACTGCTAATACAAGCAAGCATTTTCTCTATAAGTCTGACTTTAGCTACAGCTCAGTTTTAATGAATCTTTATTACCTTTAAGTTCTAAGACTCTTTTACTTTCTTCCTTGTTTGAATGATGGCTTATTTACCAGCAAGTTTTTGAAAATCCATAAACATATGTGGCTCATTTTTCTTTTCTTTTTAGCTATCCTTGGTAATTGCTTTGTAACTTAATTGCATTATAAGAGAATAGGATTTACATGATGCCAATTCTCTTAGATTTGCTTCGATTGCTTTTAGGAGTAGAACACAATCAATTTTCACAAACATCCCAGGAGGCAGGAGGCAGTATTGTTAGAGATCAAGAAACCACACCCTGGAGCCAGAGTGCCTGTATTTAAGTTCTGGCTCTGCCACTTCCTGTGTGATCTGGGACGAGGTACCTGGCCTCTCTGTGCCTTAGTTTCCTCACTTGTAAAATGTTATAAAGATCAAATAAATTAAACAATGTAAAGCACTTAGAATAATGCTTGGAACAAAGAAAGTAGCATATAAATGCCTGCTACTATTAGGTACGTGTTAAAAGAGCACATATTCTGGAGTTCTTGGATAAAGTGTTTTACAGAAGTCCACTAAATAAAGTTATTCAATAGTGTTTTTCAAATCTCCTATAAATCCTTACTGGTGTTTTTCATCTGCTGATTATCTGTCATTAACTGAGCAGTATGTTAAAAACTCCCATTATGATAGTGGATTTATATGATTTCTCCTTATAGTTCTGCCAATCTTTGTTCTATATATTTTGAAGCTCTGTTATTAGGAGCACACAAATGCAAAGTTGTTTTATTTTCCTGGTGTATTGAACGGTATCTATATATATATTACCTTCTGTATCTCAAGCAATGCTTTGCTCTAAAGACTTTGATGTGGGGACCAGGAGTCTGATATGACTGTAAGTATATATCATTTTTGGTGTGTAATTTATTTATTTTAAACAGCTTTATTGAGGTCTAACTGACATACAATAAACTTCACATATGTGAAGTTGACAATTTGATAAGTTTTGAAATACGCATACACCTGTGAAAACACCATCACAGTCGAGGCAGTGAACACATCTACCATCCCCAAAAGCCTTCCTGGGCTCACGCGTGCATCCCCCCCACCCCTCCCGGTCCCCAGACAATCATGATCTACAGGTGTCACAGAACATTAGTTTACATTTCCTATACTTTTAAATCAATGGAATCGTACAGTATGTACTTCTTTGGGTCTGGCTTATTTCACTCAGGATTATTATTTTGAGACACACCCATGACATTACGTGTACCAACAGTTCATTCTCTGTAAATGCCGAGTAGCACTCCACCACATAGAGATGCCGCAGTTTATTCATTCATTCACCTCTTGATGGACACCGAGTTGCTCCCAGTTCTTGGCTATTACACAGAGAGTTGCTATGAACATTTGCCTGCAAATCTTTGTATGGACCTATGATGTCATTTGTTTGGATAAATACCTAGGAGTAGAATAGCTGGATGATATGGTAGGAGTATGTTTAACTTCTGAAGAAACTGTGGAACTATTTTCCACAGTGGTTGTACCATTTACATTCCCACAAGCAGTACATCACATTTGACATGGTCACTCTTTAATACTACCCATTCTAATAGGCTCATGGTAGCATCTCATCACAGTTTAAATTACATATTTACATTCCTATAATGACTATAACTTTGGACATTTTTTCATGTGCTTATTTTACATTCCTTAATTGTTTATTCAAATTTTTTTACACAGTTTATTACTGAGTTTTGAGAATTATTTTCTATATGTTGCAGACATAAATCTTAGATATATGCTTTGCAAATATTTTCTTCCAATCTGTAACTTCTTTTTTCATTGTCTTAACAGTGACTTTTGAAGAGCATAAGTTTTAAATTCTAACGAAATTCAATCTCCTAATTTATTCTTTTATGGATCGTGCTTTTGGTGTCGTACCTAAGAAATCTTTGCCTA